AAAATAAAACAATGAGAATAGAGTCGTAAACCAAAGCTAGTTTATACTTATTTGCGAGTCGTATAACCATACTTGATATGACAGAGTGACCTTTATAACGTTCTTCCGGCGTTAAGTTAAATGACATTTGTTCACCACATGCATGCCTACCTAATTGTAGCTAGCGGTTCTGGTGTGGGACTTTCAGTCCCGAATAGATCTATTCACAAATCTCAGGCTCTCCCTCCAGGAGACTCTGGTTATACTAAAAGGATTTGGTTTACAGACTCTATTCTCATTGTTTTATTTTGGTTATACTAAAAGGATTTATCCCTGTACACCTAAGGGTACGCTATTTAAGTAGAGCCTCACAATTCTATATAATCTAGTTCACTAGCGGGAAAATAGTATAAAACAGTATTTATCATTGAAAAAATGTACTTTATACTCTTAAGAAAATATATAACATAAACTAAATCTGCCATAGTTTATACATATTCATTCATGAAATTTGATTTGGTAGAAACTGCCTAGACGGTTATCCCAAACTATACCTATTATAGTTTATTAGATTTGATATGAAGATGCTTTGTAAAAACCTTTCTGAAAGCTATGGAGTTAGATTTCCAAATTAAAAGTTTCCCTTATGCTCAACATATTACAAAAAGGGATAAAATATTCAAATATGTTATTAAAAATGGAAATCATTAGCTGTATTAATACGTTTAACACTTAATAAAATACTTTGAGTTTGGCTTGTATTCCCCCTGAAAACATTAAAAAAATACATAAAATGTAGGGGTATGAACTCACCTCGGGAGATTTGAATGAAAGATCGATACGGGATGCCGGATGTTCAAGTGAAGTGTTGAACACGATTTGATCCTAATTAACATGTAAGAACACATTAAGTAGTCAAATGAAGTTATTTCACCACTAGATGTGATGGAGAACCACTCTAGGGACTTGGAACTACATGCACTAAGTGTTAGGACCTTAAAGGATTGCATAAGGGGGTGTATGGCCAACTTATAGGTCTGTACGACCATGGGTGTGTGGCCTGATGGGTATGCGGTCGTACACTCATGATGGAAGGTGCCTTCGAGGTGTTTTCAAGCTCCATAATTGCTTCCATGAAGTGCTCTAGGTCCATACTAAGGTGTAGTACAAGTTTAGGGTCTTTAAAATGAGTTTGTGGTCCTAGGGTGTGTATGTGGTTTCACACAAGGAGTGTGCTGCCGCACAAGGGTGTGTGCAGCTGTACACAGGTGTGTGCAACCTTACACCCCAGACAAAGATGTCCAAAATGCCAATTCTAGGGTGTAGCAAGGCTAGTTTCATGTCTTACTCGAATATTGAAGTCCAACTCTCACCTTGGAGGGTCTTTGGAGGAGTGTGCGGCCCACCTTATGAAGGTGTGCGGCCGCACTCCTTCAAAGAATGAAGAACATGATGATTCAAGGCTTAGATCAATAGGTCCTTCATGTATGATAAGCTAGGTGATGGAAAACTCACGTTTTTTAGGCCGTGGGAGGGTTTTCGGTTGAAGACTCTTGAGAGAAATGATGTTTTGTGCGGCCAAGGAGTGAAAGGAATGAAAGGAAAGGGTCTACCCTTTATATAAGAGTGAGTGTGCGGCCAGGAGGGTGTGTACGGCCGTACACACATGTGTGCGGCCGCACACTCATCCAAAAGGGGTGTATGGTCCCGTTTTGCTACTATACGCCTTGCTGACTCATTCCTAACCTCAACCTTGACTGTACCCATGCTTAGAATACTTAAATGGACCCTTAAACAGTGCTAGAAGTTAACAGCGTTGGCTTAACATTGATTGAATTGACTAGATGTACAATGAGAATGTTCTGGGTTGTCACATCATCCCCCTGTTAGAGGAAATTTCGTCTCGAAATTCAAGAATGAAGATGTAACTCGCGGACTTGGAATTGATGGGGGGTACCTTTGTTTCCTTGTATTTTTGTGCTCCGCAATGAATTCAAGTTCCCGCTTGACATTGCAGCGTACCATCACTATAGGGATGTGACGTTACTCCGTTCAATTGAATTCTTGCTCCATGAATTTGAATGATTCCCCCCCGCCCCCCATGAAATGTAGACTCTCGTCTAGCTCGATATCATCGAGGGGAACCACAAGTGTCTTATGTGACAGACACTTATTTTTGTTCGACACATGGGAGGCGGGATGAACGCTGCTGAGCGCTAGAGTTTGTACGCTACGGGACCGATATTTGCAAGGATCTCAGACAATCCAAAGTATCTCGAATTTAGCTTACTACGCTTTCCGAAGCTTATAAGGCCTTTCTAAGGTGATTTAAGGACTGGTAAAGTACCCAAACTACACCACATCATGATTTGGGGTTGCGAGGCTTTCGTGAGACGCGAGACTCATGATAAGCTTGAACCTCGAAGCGAGAGGTGTATTTTCATCGGCTACCCACAACAATCCTTTGGTTACCTCTTTTACAACCCTAGTGAAAATGTGGTCTTTGTAGCTAGGAGGGCGTTCTTTCAATAGAGAGAGAGTTCATAAGCCAAGGAAACAGTGGGAGGCAAGTTGACCTTGAAGAAATTCCAGAGTCAAGCGGTGAAGGAACTTCAAACTCTAATACTCAACTTGAGGAGGAAACTCCTGTTGAGCCAATTGACAAGTCTTTACCTCTGAGGCGTTCCACAAGGGTTAGATACGCACATGCGCATTACTATGGATTCCATATTACTGTGGAAGGTGATACACTTATCAGTGATGAAATACTGATAGGTCCGGGTGAACCTAACAGTTACGCGGAAGCCATGGCAGGCCCTGTGTCAGCCAACTGGAAAGAGGCAATGGACAACGAGATATAGTCCATGTATGACAATCAAGTTTGGAACTTGGTTGAGAATGTACCAGGTTGTAAGACTGTAGGGTGCAAATGGATCTTCAAGAAGAAGACCGACATGGATGGTAATGTACACACTTATAAGGCACGACTGATTGCAAAGGATTTCTCACAAACTCCGGGAGTTGATTATGATGAGACCTTTTCTCCAGTGGCCAAGATTAAGTCTATTAGGGTTATGTTAGCAATAGCCGCATTTCATGACTATGAAATATGGCAAATGGATGTTAAAACCGCTTTCCTTAATGGAAAGTTGGCTGAGGATGTTTACATGAGTCAGCCAGAGGGTTTAGTCAATACAGAGTACCCTAATAGAGTATGTAAGATTGAGAAATCCATTTATGGGTTAAAGCAAGCACCTCGCAGATGGAATCTATGCTTTGATGAGAAAGTCAAGGAATTTGGCTTTTCTAGGAGTGAAGATGAATCTTTTGTATATGTCAAGGCTAGTGGGAGTATAGTTAGATT